TTGGCATATATTCTTAATGTTAGAATGGGCAGATTTGGACGACTCCGGAATGGAATCGGAGACTTAGCGTGGAAGGACCTCGGCCTCAGCAACTCAGGCAGAGTGCTGTGCCATTGCTGGTTGTCCTGGGGGTCCCTAATTTCGGATCTAGCAGAGGGAAAGTCTCTTGGGGGCATTTCAGGTCGATTTCGGACTGAGGTTACAAGTTACTATGTACATTGTATATAAGGAGGGGTCCGGAATCAAAAGGAGCGAGGGTACTCTGAAAGGAGACAAAGGGAGCTGAAAGGAGGGGCAACACCAAGGGTCAAGGGTTTGACTCAATGGTGTTTCCCAAAGGAGGAGTGAAGGGCCAAGGCCCAAGGAGGAAGGAGGGAGGATGGGAGTGGGGAATGGCCAGCTGACTGAATAGAAAGGAAGCAGCAGCCCAAATAGGAATGAGGGAGTATAGCGGAATTGAATGGAGCAATGCAATAGTTGCAAGGTCCGAGGTAAGTCCGGAAAGTCCGAACTTGGAAGTTAAACTCCGGAATATTGGCAAACGTAATTAAATGGAATGAGCTAACCAATACAATGGGTATAAGCGGAGGTGGGGTCAAAGTCCGAGGTTGGAGCTAAGACCGGAGGTTCTGGAGACAGAGATGTGAACAGGATTCCGGAGCAGAGGTCCAGAGTCGGGAGCATAGGTGTTGCATGCTCGTCTGGAAGGTGTCGAGGTTGAGGTCGGACCTGGAATGTTCCGGAGTTGGACCGAAGGTGGTGTCAGAGCCGGAGGTGGGATAACCTCTTGGGAGTCGGCAAGGAGGAGGTGACAGAAGGGAAGTAGGACTCTGGAGTCAGTTTCGGAGTTCCGGGAGCCCGGAGCGGAGGTTGGGATTGTATGGATATGACACTTAAACAGTATGAAGATGCCATGGCATATACGGATTTGGAGCGAGGTACATTTAATAGGAGGTACTATCCTGACTATGTGATGAGAACAATTCCACACACGCCGTGGCAGATTAAGCCCTTGAGGCTGCCTGCAGCAAGAATGGAAGAGATTATGGGAATGTTAAAGGAGCAGATGGAGGCTGGCAAATATGAGCCATCCCAGTCCTCATACCGGGCAAGGTTCTTCGCAGTGGAAAAGAAAGATAAAAGTTTGAGGATTGTACATGATTTACAACCCTTAAACGCAGTAACAATTAGGGATTCAACAGCGCTGCCAAGAATAGATGAAATGTTAGATTCTTTCATGGGAGCAGCAATCTACAGGATCTTTGACTTGAAGAGCAGGTTTGACAGTTGTGTTTTGGCGCCCGTCTCACAAGATATGACGACCTTTGGCACGAATCGGATGGGATCTCTGAGGCAGACTACCTTACCCCAGGGATATACCAATTCCCTGGTGGAGTTCCAAAGGAGAACAACCCATATGATAGAACCAATGATCCCAGAGAAGGCCAATGTGTTTATCGATGATTGTGCGCTGAAGGGGCCAAAGACGAGGAGTAATGAGGAGACCATAGCAGGAAATCCTCAGATTAGGAAGTTCATGTGGGCTTATGCAGAGAATTTGCAGGAATTGTTAGCGAGAGTTTTGGAAAGTGGTGCAACCATATTGGGAACAAAGATGGTACTTGCGACGCCATGCTTAGCCATGCTGGGAGCTATTGTATCGATTGAGGGAATGCATGTGTCGCATGAGATTACAGCCAAGCTGAGAAATTGGCCTTCATGTAGAACCCAATGGAGGTTAGAGGATTCTTGGGTACGGTTGGGTAGTTAGGCGTTGGATCAAGGATTTTGCAAAAATTGCTAAGCCTCTTACTCTTCTCATGAAGAAAATGGCTCCTCATGAGTTCCAATGGACAGAGGAAGCTGAGGCCGCAATGAAAGAACTCAGAGATTTGGCATCGCAGGCAGTCCCAATACGAGCCTTGGATTTCTGCCTAGCTTCAGGTGTTCAGCCAAGGAATCAGAGAGAAGGAGACTTAGGACTTGTGACAATCCAAGTGGACTCGTCCATGATTGGAGTTGGATGGGTAATTCAACAAGAGCTTGAGGACGGAAAATATCCTATAGTCTTCAGGTCTCTTACATTCAATGATGTGGAGAGTAGATATTCGCAGCCTAAGCTTGAACTCTACAGTGTCCTGCAGGCCTTTACGGCAGAAAGGCATCGGTTATATAATATTCACTTTAAGCTTCAGGTGGACACGATATCCTTGATTCAGGTGATTAATTCACCGGATTTGCCCAATGCGGCAATGACTAGGTGGATTACATATATGTTAATGTTCAGTTTTGAGATTGAACATAACCCGAAACAAAAGCATAAGGTGCCAGATGGGTTATCTAGGTGAAGGAGGATAGAGGAAGACTCAGACTACAGCGACGGAGAATTGGATGTGGAAGACGGAATCAAATTGGTGAAAGAAGCAGAGGAATTATATAGCGAAGAATTCAGAGATGTTGGCTCAGCAGATATTTGGCAACAGGTATTTGATGCAGATGAGGAAATTAAAATAAGGGGAATGCAATTGATGAGAAGAGACAGGGAGTGCATAGCACTAGAAGTGTCTTGGACCAACCCAATGGAGATGGGAAGGCTAAATGCAATTGGAGATGCATTTGAAGGCGAAGGAGTTGAGCCCCCATCGGAGGAGCAATTTAAGAAGAATAATCATCCTCATCGCATTGAGGAGTATGATTCAGAAGGATATTGGAAGGCAATTATTGCCTACCTCAAAAATGGAAAGCTGCCAAGAGATGGTGTACAGGCAGCACGATTATTGGCAAGAGCCGCCAATTCTTGATTTATGAAAGAGTCCTGTGGAAGAATAGGGATAAGCCCCTTCTCCAAGTTGTGTTGAATCCAGAAATTTGGATGAGAATGATCAGAGATGCCCATGATGGAAGTGGACATAGGGGAGGGATCCTACATATCAGAAGATAAAAGACACATATTGGTGGCCAAATATGTATCATTTGGTCAGCGAATTTTGTCGGACATGTCATGAATGTCAAATGAGGTCTTCGCAAAGAAATGCGGTGCCGATTCAACTGCAGTACGTGAAAACCTTATTGAGGTTTGATGCAGACACGGTCAATATGCCGAAAGGAAAGGGAGGATTTAAATACCTCATTGACATCGTGGACAATCTGACAGGGTGGACTGAAGCCAAGGCTACGAAAAATATATGCTCAGAGACCATTGCGAACTTCTTGTTTGAAGTTATGTGTCGATTTGGGTGTATTTTTCAGCTTACAGTGGACAACAGAAGCAAGTTTCAGGGAGCAACGCAAGTGTTAATGGAGAAATATCGGGTTCCTATTGTCAGAACTACTGCATACAATCCCAAAGCGAATGGAAAAGTTGAACGGGACATGGAGTGTGGATTGAAAGTATTTGGAAAGTATTACAGGGCCACACTGATAGGTGGCCCGAATTTGTGGGATATACATTGTGGGTGGACAGAGTGACGACCAAGAGGAATACGGGCTATATGCCCTACTTCTTACTTTACAGTCAACACCCACTCATGCCCTTTGATGTTATGGATCTGACCTTTCATGCTTTGGATTGGCTGAAAGTGTTCACCACAAAGGAATTGTTGGCAATGAGGGTTAGGCAGCTGTTGCAGCGAGAGGAATTCCTGGAAAAAGCGGTGATTGGTTCATATGAATCCAGAAAGAAAGCCACTGATGCTTTTAATCAAAAGCATTCAGCAAGGATGTTTAAAGGAGAATACAAGCATGGAGAAATGGTCTTAGTGGCCAATGAGAGGTTAAAGATTCAGCACGACTCCAAGGGACACTTAAGGTGGTTTGGACCTTATGTGGTACTTGGGAGATTGAAGTCAGGCGCGTTTTTGCTTCAGGAATTGGACGGCACTATTATGAAACGTCCAGTGGCATGGAAAAGAATTATATTGTACCATCATCGTAAGAACAAAGATGCAATCATCAGAGTGGTGCCGCTTAAGGCAGAGGAGGAAGAGTACGAAAAGGAAGTAGATGTAGTGGATGGGTCGAAAGTTAAGAGGAAATTTGGGCTTCCATGACCATGGGAGCTGAAGGAAAAAGCGAGGGATGAGTATTGGGAGGGGAAGTTTAGGCAGATGAAGCTTAGACTTACCGATCCTGACCATCCTGAGCTCGTGGAGCCGGATCTAGAAGAGAAGGAGTTGGAAAAGTTCACCAAAGAGGATGCGGAGTTTTGGGATTTCAGACATGAAACTTACCCAGGAGTGGACGGAGAACTCGTTAGATTTAAGAATAAGCCTACAGGAGGACCAGAGATTTATGAGTGGAATCCTTATGGCAAGGGGTATTTTGTACCGTGAAAATCTTTCCCAGTGGTGGCACAAGCTGATGGGAAGCTAAGAGGGAGCATGATTGGCTTAGGGAAGGCTATAGTTGAAATGATACAACCAAAGGGAGAGGTAGTGAAGAGCAAGGGTGGTGAGGACCTTATGATGGCAGGAGTACGAGACCAGGAGGAATTTGAAATGGCAGGAGCTCTGGGCAGAGTTTTAACCTCTGACCCTTTTACCTTAACCCTCGAGTGTAACATGGCAAACCGTGGACAAGGAGTCCAGCATGGTTCAAACACACGCCAGAACGCTAGAAAGATGGGACCGAAAGAGAAACCTGAGGAGTCCCAGGAGGGGAAAGATACTCAAGAATAAATACCAGTGGTGAAGCCGTGGGCTTCAGGAAGGAGAAAACACCTCCTTGTCCTAAGCTAGCCTCTCCATGGAAATATTCTCCCTTACCAGAAAACGTACCTGAAGGGCCGAGAGTGGAAGAAATTGCTAAGTTGGAGAAACAGTTGGGGGAATTAAAGGTTAACCCAAGGACTAGCAGCGCTAGAGAAGGGTCTAAGCGGAGTGAGATGCATGAAAGAGGAAGTCTTGACTCCGGTAGTGGGATAAAGGTTCAGAAGTTAGGAGAGCCCCTTCATGCCAAACTAGAGGATTATCAGAAGAGAAACTTCGACAAGAGGTATGGACATGGCCGAAGGTGCAGAGATTTATGAGGATGAAGATGCGGTGGAGCTCCTCCCTTTGAGACTTTATTACAAGCCCTCAGAAAGCACGGATTGGAGACAACATCAGGGCAGGTGGATTAGTAGGCCACATCCGGAGGAAGGGGAGTCCAAGACAAGAGGACTTTTGTTGATGTGATATGAGAAGATTTTCAACAGGAAAATGCAGATGCTGGGAAGAGAAAGGCTGATGAGCTCAGGACCATGGAGAAAAATGAGGTTAGGAGGGTTCTTGAGCGCCCCACTCATTTGCCTCTCATCGCTGCGGACTATAAAGTCATGGATTTGATCACCTGCGCCACCGAACAAGTCCAAGAGTTTAAAGAATTAAGGGAACAGACCATAACCCTTCATGACCAACGTCTCAAAATCATTTACAAAGACTTGGTCAACCAAGAGGCGTTGATTCATCATGTCCATGATCAAATTTCTACACTCTTGAGGGCACTTAAAGGGACAGCCACTAAAATTCAAACCACCTATGATGAAGCAAGGGTCTGCGAAGAGAAAGCAGCAGACGCAGCGAGAGCAACAGAAGTGATGTTTAGGGCCACCCATGAGAACTTGATTTCAGATGATGATTATTACCTCATTGTCTCCGAATGCGTTTACACTATGAAGAACAGGTTCTTGGAGAGGTATGCTTCCACAGACCAAAGAATTAAAAATTTCATTGGGAATTCTCAAGCATTCTGGGATGCTTGGGGGGAGCTGGTGCCCTTACCAAGGTTGCCCTATATGATGCATTACACCGACTGTACGTTACAGATGGAGCAGAAGGAACGGGAAATGGGATCGGCAACTTTGGTTAAAGGGGAATTCAAGAAGAAGTTAGGAAAAATGGTTGAGGAGCAGGGGAAAATAAGGGCAGAGCTTAAGGAGAGGGTAGTGGCTCAAGGCACATTGGTGCATGAGGAAGTCGAGGAATCCAAGTTAACGGATTTGGTATCAGAGGAAGCTTCTACTTCCAAGGTGCCTGTGGTGTCAGAGACCAGATCGAGACGAAGGAATGTCTCCATGGCGGAGGGCTTCAGCCTCAGCGACTTATGCCAGGAGCGCTGTGCCAAGTTACCCATGCCCTAACTTACTGACTGGCAACGAGAACTAAAGGGGGTCAACTCTAGTCGATTTTATTACTGAGGTGTAACCTATGTACAAGTTGAGTATATCTAGTTACAACGAGGGCTGGCCTGTAAATGGCGGGGCCAAGCAGAGTGGAGCTAACGGAGTTAAACATTAGCCGATTGAATATTACCGACAAGTCGGGTTATGGGGTTAGCGGAATGGTAGGTGATAACCCAGAAACAGAAAGGGGGGATAGGCCCAAAGGTGGGCTTGCAGGGCAAGTGAGTGAATTGCCCAGCGGAGGCAGGAGTGCGCTAGCAGACATCGGAGCTGTCTGGAAACCTTCGGGGCTCCCTACTTAGGGAGGCGTAGGTAATATATTGAAAAGAGGGGGTGGTGACCATCGAAGAGAAGCAGAGGTGGTTGCGGAATACAGGAGCTCCAAGGTTAGTGAGGAAGGAGCGGAGGTAGTCTGGAGAGTTCGGAGGTAGTGGAAGTCGATGGCTGAGTATGGATATGACATGTGCCGAAGAAGAAGAAACTTGTTTTGAAAGATCAGGAAGCCAAAAAGTTGCCTAACCTGAGGAAGAGGAAGTGGGTGAAGGCTTAGCTGAAGAGTCTGAGATCTTAATGGAATTGTACAAATAGGATGAGGATGGGAATTCATTGTGACTGGGATATATTTATGGGAGGGGAATGCTGTATTAGGAAGTGTAGTATTCGGAATGTGGAATTTGTGATATTGTGAGGGACCACAATGAAGAGCTAGGCCTGTATGTAGGAGTGCATAACAGGTGTGCTCAAATGCATGGAACCTTATGCAGCAAATACATCAAAATTGGGCTCCCGCCCTTGTACATTATTAGGAAAAAGAAATCATAGGAGGGAGTAATAAGAAAGAAGAAAGAGGGTTTTCGTTCGAACCGAAAGAGTCCTTCCGTGAAGGAATTGGTGGAGATTTGGTGGAGAAATTCAACCTGAGATGTCCTCATGTGCAAAGTCCATGCACTTGACTGCAACCATGGGAACAAGGTCAAAAGTTGATGGAAGAGGACGAACTTGGGGTCATTAAATCCAGAAAAATTCCCAAAGACTCAGTGTTGAATTTCACCCTAATCGGTTCAGTGGTTGTGGAGATATTCTGATTGTCGGGCATGACAGGAGCCATGGGACGATATGAACTGTTCAGATGCTCATGTGCGAGCTAGTCTCAATGAAAATATGGGCTAGTCAAATAATATAAATGCTGAAGAAGTCATTGGAGGAGTCTTGGAATTATGGCATTTTATTTGGACCAAGTTTCCCTGTGCACAGATAATTGAGATATCTTCTGAGAATTCCCGTTCTCAGTCAAATCTCCACCAAATTTCACAAAATCGGTATCGTTAGAAAGCTATGGATAAGGAGAGTCGAATGGAATAAAGGGACGGAGGTTTGACGCAGTGTTTGGAGTGGTATGAGGAAGTTTGTGTTTTCCTTTTCAATTTCTTTTGTTGTTTGGAATTTTATTCTAAGCCAACGACACCTGAACCTTACCACCGTTGTTGGTGGAGGCTTAGCTCAGCCAAACCCATATATTTCGGACTCTTTTCACAAATTGTATGTTGCTGTATGGATATATGTACATAGCGATTGAAACAGAATAGGCGATTTCCCCCCCTCCCACTACTTTTGAAGTCCGTGTACTTGGATGCTGTGAGTGGCCACACAATTGGTAAAGGGCTATTGTGACCTTTAGGGAAATCCACCACAGAAAGAAGATAAGCAAGAGTTACCAGAGTTTTATTGTCAGGGTTCATGTCATGGGACATAGCATAAGCGGTTCTCTGTTACCCTATCGATATCGTGTAAGACTATATCACCACATGTAGCCGCATCGGCCCTCATATATTGTAAATCCCTCACCTTCTCCTGATCCAACTCTGCCCTTTGATCTGAGTGTTCCTTCATTTCTATTCACTGTCATATCCATCCCCAGCCATCGACTTCCGGTTCCTCCGTTCCCTCCGGTCTAACTCCGCTCCTCCCTCACTAACCTCGGAGCTCCCGTATTCCGCAATCCTCTCGGTACCCCTCGATGGTCACCACCCCCTCATTTCAATTTATTACCTACGCCTCCCTAAGTACAGAGCCCCGAAGACTTCCGGACAGCTCTGACGTCTGCTAGCACACTCCCGCCTCCGCTGGACAATACACACACCTGCCCTGCAGAGCCCACCTTCGGGCCTATCCCTCCTTTCCGTTTCTGGGTTATCGCCTGCCTTTCCGCTAACCCCACGACCTGACTCGTCGGTAATATTCAGTCGGCTAATGTTTAAACCCCGTTAGCTCCGCTCCGTTCGGCTCCGCCAATTGCGGACCCATCTTCACTGTAACCATATATATATCCCACTTGTACATAGGTTACACCCCAGTAATAAAATCAACTAGAGTTACCCCCCCTTCGGTTCTGATTGCCAGTCAGTAAGTTAGGGCATGGACGTGTCACTAGGCACAGCGCTCTTGGCAGAAGTCGCTGAGGCCAAAGCCCTCCGTCACGGAGACTCTCCCTCGTCTCGAATCTGGTCTCTGACATTCACTTCGTTTTCTATCGGATCACTGTTTAGTTCCTTTGATCCTATCTCTTCCGATTGATTGATGTCACTCGTGTATATAGCTCTATGTGCCACTGAGGGTTGGAACCTCAGCTTTGTCTACAACTAGGTTTTCGGGTGATATTTGACTCGGACTGACGAGCAATCCCTGACAGTTCAGCACCCTGCCTTAGGGTGCCCCGGACTCCCCACCTACTTTACCCCCTTTATTCTTTGATTGTTGCCTTGTTGTTGCCTTTGTGTGTTGTGTACACGCGTGCATGGGATAACGTGGGAACTTTCTGAGTGAGCAGCTCACCCAGAATGTTCCCATGCTTACTGGGCAATGCCACCTGGATGTTCCCTCCAGGCCACACTACACAACTCTAGGAGCTGTATAGTTGTGGGCATGTGACCCATTCCTTTATATAGCAACCATGCAGGGAGATGAGACCTTTACCCTTCTTCTCCCTCATGCCCTGCATAGGCAAGTGTACATATATCACTTTCTTTTACTATACATCTCATGCCCCACATAGTGTGAGGATAGGCTAGATGGGGGTTGAGGTCAGGGAGCCTCCAAGTCTGAGGCCAGGCCCTGACATTTATATTTCACCGAATTTCCTTCCCCCCCCCCCTCCCCATTGTTTATACGGACCCGTTCTTACCACAACACCCTTCCAGCCCCCTTTCTCTTTCTTCCCTAGTTTTTGGGGAGTGAGTTGGAGTGCTACCTTCTGTTTTCTGGAGACTGTAGCAGATTCCTGCTTGCAACGCTCATGAGCGTTGTCAGTCATCAGTTTTATCCATCTACATGCAAGGATGTACATCCATGCCAGTAACTTGTGAAAAGTGATAGATGCTCCATGGGCTCCATGGAATTTCATGGAGTTGTCAGGGGACAACTCCCAGGTCCCCATGACCCTCCCCTATGGTCCACAGCCTACTGGTGTAACCAGCCCTATCCAGGGCACAACCTACTGTGGGTAAGAAGATGAGAAGGAAGCTAACTTCTCATCTTCCCACAGTGGCCCCAATATCAGCAAAACTTCTGGGGATACCCAGAAGTCACATGAGGAATAGGAACCGGGCCCGGAGCATGCAGTGCACAGAGCGTGCAGGGCGTTGTTGTGGGGACAACTCCGTGTACCGCAAAAAGTCGGATTCTGCGGAATTTGGCCACAAACACCCACTACATACCCGCTGACGCTCCCGATGCTCATTCTATCACTATCCAACACTACATACACTCATTCCTTATTTTTCCTTATTTTCCCCATCATTCCCGACAACCCCAAGCAAAATTCCCACGCCCAACCATGCCGCCAATTTCACCCCCTCTCCACATCTCAAGAACCACTGCACCAATTGGGACGAATAAGGGCTCGTTGGAAAGCTGGAGACGAGGAGGTTGCTTACGGGAGGATAGGCGGGCGCTGTGGCGAACTGTTGCGGAGTTAATTTTCACAATTCCCATTTCGGACCCGTTGTCACATTTTCCCCATTCATTCATATTTCTTTTATTGTTTCTTTGTTCCCAATTGGATATTCATCATTTACGGTTGCCTAACGGCCCGTTTACATTCCCCCAGTCCATTCTTTCCATTTCCAACATATATAAACTAGATAACAGCTTGTACATAACAAGTTAGTATTGAATAGACCCGTGAAGGGACAAGCAGAAGTTGCATCCAAGTGGCAAAGACGCCATCCACGACCCTAACGCCCCCCTTGAGATTGTTGCTCACATCTAAGACCCCTCTCATCATAATACTCAGCCTTGACGTCCAAGAGAGACGTAGGTGAGTGTTTGTTTGAGGTTTTTGCAGACTCAGTAGCACCCACGGACCAAAACCTGGCCCAACGAACCACACCCGCGCACACTACCACCCTCCCCCTTCTCTCTGTCTCAAGTCTAGGCAATAGACCTGTTACAGCGTGCAGGGCGGAGCACACATGCGGGCCCGGGCGCGGGTCCGGATGTGGGTCCGGGTCCGGGCTAGTCAGGGTGTGTGCCCTGACAGAGGGCAAGCACAGCTGCATCCTCTGGAAGCGCTGCCACTGGCTGTTGAGGAGCATGGCCTCATGCTTCCATTCAGCCCAGGTGGTGGGCATAGGGTGGAGCCAGGAGTTGATTGCCTGCTCAAAGCAGTCGATCATGTCAGAGGGCTTTGGCCTCAGCGACTTAGACCAGGAGTGCTGTGCCTAGTTACACATCCATGCCCTAATTTACTAACTGGCAAAGAGAACTAGAAGAGGGGAAACTCTAGTCAATTTTATCACTAGGGTGTAACCTATCTACAAGTTATGCATATATAGTTACATAGAGGGCAGGCCCATGAATGGCAGGACTGAGTGGAGCAGAGCTAATGGAGTTACATGTTAGCTGACTGAATATTACCAATGAGTCAGGTTATGGGGTTAGTGGAGTGGCAGGCTATAACC